GTAATAACTTGCTGTGCTGAAGTACTTTTCAAGTACTTTTATTTTGAAAGCTCAAGACACAAACGAATTTCTTCTTTTATATTTTTGTAGTCTTATCGTCAAGTATTGTCGCCTTTTCACAGAAAGTGAATTTAATCAAATTCTTGGACTTTCTTGGAGAATTCGCCAGGCCAGCGTTTCATCCTCCAGTTATTTTTAAACAAGAAGCTGAATTAGTTTACAATCAAAGATGAAGACCAACCACTCTAAGACATTCATCATCAGTCAGAAGGACGTCGCAGTAGTTGACTGCTCAAGAAGACGTATAAACGTTTCCAGCCGAATAAAGACATTATTCTCCAGCCACCTTGCCCCCCAACACTCACTAGCGCACACGCCGCGCTGGGCCTTTTGGAGAGATTGCCACTGGAACCAGGGACGAGACGCAACTTCCCTCAGCCTGTTGGACCGGTGACGCAAAGCCGCAGTTGAGCTAAAAGCCAAGGACCTGAAATCCTTCCAAGTTCCATCTACAAACAAAGTAGGCTGACTCTCCGGTACACGGCCAGATTCACACACATGAAGAAGAGCTGGTGTCTGTCTATAAGCTTTGATTCCCATCTTTTAAGTTTAAGAGAATTTTGGATTAGGGCCTCTCAGTTCTAAAATTTACTCTCGTAATATTTTAAACTTACTGCCGCATCGCAAAATCCACCATCACTCCTGAATCACCTAATAGTAATAATTCATATATTGTCCACATATTCTGTTACTTGTTGTCATTTGTTTGTTTATCATTTCATGCTATTTACTCTGCATTAGTTTAGTTAATAAACATATATAACCGTATGTCCTTGTTGGTGCAGGTTTGATTTGATGCGGGGAAATCGATGAATCGTGTAAAAGAAATCACTACTTCAGAAATATGAGATTAAATATAGATTTTGAAACTTAATAAATTGATTTAAAATTGATTTGATTAGATCGGCGGAATAATTTCCTCCGGATTATTCCAGTAGCTAAACAAGGAGGTGGTGCCCCATTTACGAGTGTATTATTAATCACTAGTGATTAAATACTAATAATAATGAAAAAGTAGTGTATCCCCTACAGTGACGTGCATCCATGAGACAAGTGGCCCTCTTGCCCGCACTTGAAACAGTGTGAACAGTCTTCACCCACTCTCTCTTCTCTGCACTTTTGACACCCTCTCGGTCGCTGTTTCACTCCAGGGGGACGGAGACTCATTTCCATTACAGTCTGAAACATCTGCTTCATTTCTGTGCGGAGTTCTTCCATTATCTATTGCGTGTTCATGTTGTCTGATTTAGTCTCTTTCCCTTTCACTGTTTTGACTGTCACTGTTGCATTCGACTCCTTTGATTTAAAAGGGACCCTGAGTAGGTGCTGAGTCTGTCTGAATTTCTGATTTGAACTCCTGCACCTTAGGGCTTTTAACAACAGTGCACCTTTTCCGTTTCTCCTGCCTCTCACTTTCAACCTTTGCAGCTTCATTTACTCTTTCAATTAGTTCTTCATCTGTTATACTCACGTCACCGATGTGGGACAGGATGTGAAATTTCACAGAGTCACTTAATAGTCCAGTTTCAATTGAGCGGAGGAACTTGCGCTGAACGGTGGCTCTGCTGTACTCTTCCTCAGTGTCTTCATTTGTTGCTTTCCATAAAAGTTTCTCCTTGAGCTCAATTGCATGGAATATAAAGTTCAGGGCAGACTCTTTTGGCTGTTGGGAGATTTATAAGCTGGTGATAGAGGTCTGTGGAGCTGTCTACCTTGTAGTGACCCTTCAGAATCGTGTGAAGTGCAGAAAGGGTCAGCCCACACTTAATCTCTAGCATGTCTCTCAAGGGGAGCCCTGGACTGACAGCCCTGATGACCACTTCAGTAATAGGTAAAATAATCTCTCTTTCTGCCCGCTGTCTCCAATTTGCCCAGCAATCTTAAACTCCCTTCTCAATGTTACCTCCGGCAGCATGTGAGAGAGAGTCTAGGGTTCTTTGGAAAGGATGGCATGGCAGGAAGTACTTCTTTTAGTCCTTTCTTTATACCAGACTCCTCTGCGGATGTCTCCTTATCTGGCTGCAGGCATCCTTCGTTTAGTTTCTCAATAAATGTTTGTAAGTCAGTAAAAAACTGACTAACCTCATCGTCCTCTTAATTTTCCTAAATCTCATCCAGCACGCTTTCTGCAATCTTGATGACCGCCCTTCGTGCCTTGCTGTAGGGCTCTCCACTGTCCAGGCCACCACATTTCAGGTACCTGCAGACATCTATGAGAGATTCCTCCCCCAGCTGCCATAGGGCTGCGCTCACTCTATCTCACAGAAGCTGGCTGTTATCCATCTAACAGAAGATTGATGAAGGTTTGGCTCTTGATGAAGGAGGGGGGTTTGAGATGATGATGATGATACCTCTTCTGCCTCCTCCTGGCTGGCTCGCCAAAATATGTTACATGTACAAGAATGACTTGACGCCCACTCTTGTGCAACACATTTAATTTCTTGTTGGAAATATAACACAGTATTATTTAGAAGCGCTCTCCTTTGCTTGCATTCTTACTCTTTACGTACTAACAACTTCTTCTCTATTGGCGTTTGCTACTGATGCCATAGTAAAATGCACAGAGCACCCTCTGCTGACCATATTGTTCTTAGCAGGGAAAATAACCACAAAAAAATCAGGGGGGAACCAATATTACACTGTCTTCAAAAATAGCTAATATTACACTGTCCTCACATATACCTAATATTACACTGTCTTCACAAATACCCAGTGCCACACTTAATCATAAAAATCAGACTCAACTTGTAGTAGAGAATGTCTCACTGTGATTGATGATTTATGGTTGTATTTCTTTTAAATTAAGCTTTTTAATATTTTCACTTGTATTCTTTTAATCAGATTTCATACACTGTAATAAAGTATATGAAATTCAATTTACATTGCATAGTTTTAAAGGTTGTCTTCCATGAATGATTTTTCCTCATACACTGAGACACAAATCTCTAGTGACTCAACTTTATATATTTCTATCCATATTTTTTCTTAGTGAGGGCTTTGTTCATTACCACCCACAGTCTCATTTATGAGTATTGTAAAGCATGGAGATGTATTATTTATTGTTTTACTTAACTGTTATGTAACTTATTCTGAGATGATGTTACAATAACAACCATGAAAATCCCCCTGCAAACACAAATGACTTAACAAATTAAAACAATTTTTAATCATTGAATCACCTCTCACACCACCTGTAGTATCTCATCTTAAATAAACTGTGGAAAGCATCTTCACCTCTGGTCTGGAGAAATCCAACTTTCGTTGTTTAGATTTGCTCGTCATCTTCCACCTTTTTGCTAGCAAGAGGTCGTTTAGCCGCTAACTTAAGGTTGCTGTGCACTCTCTCCAGGTATTTCTTGAGGTTACTTGTACTATTTTTAGCCGTAGACAGTTCCCTCGGCCTCCCACACGCACATAAAGTGCACCTTACTGTGAGGTTTATCCATTTCTGTGACAAATTCAAAATAGTGCGAGTATAACCACAAACGTTGAATTATCAGTTGTTGTTCTTGCCATCTTGCCATCTCCAAACAAAACCATCTTCTTCTTCTTCTGTTGATTTAAAACCATCTTCTTCTCCTCTTTATTTACGGCTGTTGTGCCTGGGTTGTTTTTTCGAAACCTCCGCCTGTGCGACAGCTTGGATTGTAACACGTTACCGGACTCAGTAACTTCTCACACGAGCAGTTGAGCTGGTGATCTGAAGCTGTCGACAGGAGTGTTCCGGTAGTCTAGGAGACTCAAATGGGGATCTCTTTGGTCGGCTTTGGCCTTTTTGAGAGTTTTGGCCATCTGCATTCATTTTTCAGCGAGTCCATTGCTTTGGGGATAGTGTGGGCTTGTGGTGATGTGGGTAAAGCCCCAAGTGTTGGCAAAGGTTTCAAACTCTCTACATTTGTACTGAGGCCCATTGTCTGAGATAATAGTCTCTGGTATTCCATGTCTGGCAAATATTGCTTTCAGCTTGTGTATCACAGCAGCGGCTGTTGTGGTGCGCAGCTTGTCAAGTTCAAGGTATCTGCTGTAATAGTCCACCGTGATTACGTAGTTCTCGCCGTTCCATGTGAATAGGTCGGTAGCGACGGTTTGCCATGGCCTATCTGGGATCTTGTGACTGATCATGGGCTCCTTGGTGTTGGAAGGTCTGTGCTCAAGACAGGTGTGGTACTTTCCAACCATCTCCTTGATCTGCTTGTTCATCCCTGGCCAAAATAGGATGTCTCGTGCTCTCTGTTTGCACTTCTCACTGGTTTCCGCATGATGGACTCGAGTGGCTTGTGGTCACTCTCCACAGTGAAGTGACGTCTATACACATACTGGTGAAACCACTTGCATCCGAATAGAATGGCGTACAGCTCTTTTTCAATTTGTGCGTAATTGACCTCACTGTCTGTTAGCGATTTCGATGCGTAGCCGATTGGCTTGCCCTCTTGTAGTAGGACTGCACCGAGTCCATACTTCGATGCATCAACTTGCAGCCTGAGCTCATTGTTGGGGTCAAAATATGTTAAGACTGGACCTGGCTCTCGTGTGATGAGCTCCTTCAGCTTTCTGAATGCTTCGTCATGCTGTACATCCCACTTGAATTCACTAGACTCTTTAAGCAGATGACGCATTGGTGCGTTGATGCCTGAGAGTCCTGGGGCAAACTGACAAGTAATTAACCATGCCTAAGATTGTTTCTAGCTCACCCTTGTCTTTGGGTGGCTCCATGTCCCTCACAGCTGCAATCTTGGCTGGATGTGGTTTGATTCCATCTTTGGTGATGAGATGTCCAAAGTAACTAACCTCAGTAGTGCATATTGTGCTCTTTTCGGGGTTGAGCTTAACTCCCTGTTCTTTGGAGCGCTGTAACATAGCACAGAGGTTTTTGTCATGCTCGTCTTTGTTTTTGCCGTAGATGAGGACGTCGTTGACTATTGCTGTGACTCCCTGTAGACCTTCATAGATCTTGTTGACTTTCCGCTGAAACTCATCTTGGGCAGATTTCAACCCGAAGGGTAGACGGAGGAACACAGTATTGAATGCAGTCAACTTAGATGACTCCTCCGTGAGCTTTATGGCCCAATAGCCTGATCTGGCATCCATGACGCTGAAGTAGCAGGCTCCTGCTAGTTTGAATGTGATGTCGTCGAGAGTAGGTAGCGGGTAATGTGGTCGCTTGATAACCTTGTTCAAATCCTTGGGATCTAGACACTCTCAGCTTGCCTGTACACGGTTTTTCTGCTGCTACCATTGAATTGACCCATGCAGTTGGTTCGGTAACTTTCACAATGATCTGTTGCCTTTCTATGTTCTATAGCTCCTCCTCTAGGCGATCACGTAAAGCGAGGGGGATGCGGCGTGGTGGGTGAACCACAGGCACTGCGTTGGGATCAATGTGAATGGTGCACTTGCCAGGAAACAATCCTATTCCTTTAAAAACATCAGCAAATTCATCCATAACCGATACCTCAGGTGCGCTGGATACAGATAGTATGAGTTTGATAAGCCCAAAGTCTAGGCATGCTCGTAATCCTAGTACTGGGGTGCAGGTGTGTCAACAACTCGAAACTTCAAAGTTAACTGAGTGTCCTTGTATTGGCATCTCATGTTACACTTGCCTCTAACAACTAGTCGCTCACCACTGTAGCCATAGAGTGGGCAGTTTGATTGCTGTAGTACGTTCTGTATTCCCAATCCTCTGAAAACACGAGTTGAAATGACATTAGCGGTGGCTCCCGTGTCTAGCTTAAAGCTAATTACAGCTAGGTATGGTCCCACTTGCACATCTGCAAAGGCCTGCTCTGCATCATTAACATAGCTTCTTAGTGTCACTGCATCAATGAACAAATCCTCATTGTCTGGAGTTTGGTCTTGCTCATTCCCATTTATTATATGCACTCCTTTTCCTTGCCCAGAACGACATACTTTTGCAAAATGGTTCCATTTGTTGCATATCTTGCACTGTTTTCCTTTCGCTGGGCAGCTGTCCTTTAGCCTATGGGCCTTATTTTCGCAGTAGCTCTGTCTTCCCCTTTCTTGTGTGTGTAATCAAAGTTTCTCTTTAGCTTGTCTTGGTGCGGTTTTCAGATGTCTTTTGCACATAACGCCGACTGATGCCGAGCAGTCTGCTCGCGCAGGCCACTGCTGCCACCAGATATAGTTTTAAGCTGTGCTTGCGCTATTTCATGAGACCTGGCAATGTCTACTGCTTTATCCAATGTTAAGTCGGAGCCAACGCTTAGTAGCTTTTCTCTCACTCTGGGTGAATTGATTCCAAACACCACACGTTCTCTTCTCATCTCATCACTGTTAGTATAATTACAGTCCTTTACAAGCAGTCTCAAATCTGTCACAAACTGTTCGTTAGCAAAGATGACATTCGACTTCGGCATAATGTATGCTTCAAAGCGATCATAATTGAGCATAGTGTTAGTTCAGGCAGGGCACAAAGTCAGGCTTAGCTTTAAGTTACAGCTATATCATACGATCACAGCTAGTCATAAACATACATCGGCTGATTCCTCTAAGCTTCCCATTGGATACCATACACAGACAGCTGACAGCTCACCTGATTTCCTCAAGCATCCAATTGGCAAACATCTACATGGCGCCTTATTTAAGCTGCTTTAGCCTGCCTGCCTATCTCTGCTGCTCCTCTACAAGCCTTTTTGCCAGGATGTTGTGTGCGTTACTTGTGGTTTGTCGTTTGTTTCTACTTGTCCTGTCTGCGGTGAGTATCATGGCGGGTCGACTGCATTGTGAAGTCTCAGCAGCGATCTCGGCTGTTGGGGAGAGTGTCGCTTTTGAACAACATCCGCAGTTCTGTCCGGCTGCTCTGGTTCTGGGGGGTCTGCAGAAGGGGGGAGGAATTGCTCCTGCGGCTCCGCTGCGGTCCCGGCTCCGGCGCTGCGCTGCCTTCCAGGGGAGCGCGGGTCCCAGGCGCAGCGGCCGGCTCCACCTGTCTTGCTTGTAAGCTCTGTCCAACATCCGGTTGTCGCTTGCCGTCATGGGTTCAAGGGTCCAGGGTTCGGTTCGGCACGTCAGGCCGGCCAGTCTTCATCCGCAGTTGGCCTGTGTCCCTCTTCGCTGTCTGCAGGTAGAGCGCATGGTCCCACAGGTGCAGCACTTGACGATGACGTCACAGCAGCTTGTTTTGACGCAGAAGCTGGGAAGCGCAGTCCCAATCACCATAGGGAAGAACGTGCTGCCTCTCAAAAAGGGGGCATGAGAGATCAGCCTTCAACCCCAGTAAACGTCCCTGAGCTGGGGAAGGCGCTAAGAAAGCATCTAAACGCTGTTTAGTGAATTATATGTTATAGGGCTGGTTCATGGTTCTTAGCTGGGCTGACTTGGTTGCAAAAACCTACAATCTGCTTTGAAAGAGCTGAGATAGTCGATGCCTTACTGAAGAAAGGATAACAAAAGGGTTCATATTGGTCCATTCATAAATCGCCTTCTCAACAAGCATTAAGGTATAGCTACCAGGAAATATTCAGGGAAAATAAATAAAATAAAAACATAATTATTAATTTATCTGCTCTTGCAAAGGCGAAACTAAGGCATAAATAGTTTAAATCCTCTGGCACTTTTCCCTTATTTTATGCTATAATCTACAATGCCATCAGTTGATTAAGGAAGCATGTAGAGGCACATGGCTAGCCAAGGCAGATGTCACAGATGCATTTAAGTCATGCATTACACCTTCACACTGGCATCTGTTCTGTTTAAATTAAGAGAATGTACTTCTCAGTTAGGCTCACCTTTGGTTGTTACAGCAGCCCCAATATTTGATACCTATCAGAGGCTCTCTGCTGGATTCTTTTAAATAACTGCAACTGCTTTCGTGCTCCATCTCGTAGACATAATGGTATGGCATCTCCTTCTTTTACAATGAGCAGCTAGAATCATCATTTGCCATTAATTATAAAAAGACGCAGCATATTGATTACATATAAATTAATCGAACACTGTGTGCCAGTTCACCCTGGGCGCTTTATGTCAACAGCAAGGTCTAATAGTGTGACTGCTATGATCTACTAGATCACTAATGAACAGCTTTGCTGAGCTTAGAAGACAGGGAGCAGACATGAGGGGCAATTTAGGGAAGGGCAATGGATCCACAGGTTTTTCGGTGTTGCGTACAGAAATAATGGAGATATAATTAATTCAAGCATACAGTAGAAGTGGCATGATTGACCTGTATGATAACCGCCCTTCCGTAGGTTTTGGGGGGTTATTTTAATAATCAGTGGTTCGCAGACATATGGCTGTCATCCTTGCCAGCTAATGCCTCTTCTACCTTTTTTAATGAATGTATCCAATTGTTGTTTCATGTTTCTGTGGGGAAAAGACTGGTCAAGGAAACAATCATGTTTTTGCGACAATGAGGCAACTGCCAACATCATTTACAAGGGCGTTCTTCAGTTCCATTCATTAATAGATTTGTAAGGCGCCTCACTTGGTTATCTATGTTGGGTAAATTCATTATTAGAGCATCTCATATTCCATGCTTGGATAACAAATGCTGATTTTTGTCCCGGTTTGATTGCAGAATTTCGCCAGCTGTGCCCGGAGGCAGTGCCATCCAGCCTGATTTGCCCCCCATTTTCTCAAACCGTGTTAGAGTAAACACAACCATGCAATCCTACAGGCTATCTACTGCTCAGTATATGCGATCTGGCTTAGCTAATCTACATTAAAATAACTCCTCATTCAATTCGCACAGGAGCAGTAACAAATGCAGCATCCGTAGCTCCTGTCTCGACGCTAAGGCTATGGGTAAATGTTCATTATCTGCTTATGAACGATACCTCGGGCCTGAGGCCAAGCAATTCTTGATGCTCAGAAAGCAATGAGTGCCCTGTAATTTCCGGTTTAAATTCATCAATGTATAGCAAATTTCTGGGGATATCTCTAGTATACTTAGCCATGTATTTCAACTAGTGTCTGCTTAGACGTATTGGTTTATAGTCCTGCTGGCTCCTCTTACTGGCACTTCCATGTAGCTCATGGAAGGGAGGTTGCCTGGTGTGGTTCTTTGGGGGTCTCTGCTGCTGCTCTCCTTGTCTTAAACTTTTCCATGTATGCACATGGAAGGGCAGGAGATGTGCCTCCTGCCTTAAGGTTTTCACGTAGGCACGTGGAAGGACAAGGAGGTCCCATACAGAGCCACACCACCAAATATAACGCTGTTTGGGAAATGTGTTTTTGCTGGCTTAATTTAAATACACTTTTAGCATAACTTCTTAGGGATCTCTTTATTAATCTTCAGGCAAGTTACTTAAACTAGTATCTGCATAAATTATTGGCTTTATTACTGTTATTTATTTCTTACAAAAAATTGCGCTGCTGGCTCCTCTTGATGGCACTTCCATGTAGCTCACGGAAGGGAGGTTGCCTGGTATGGTTCTTTGGGGGTCTCTGCTGCCGCTCTCCTGGTCTTAAACTTTTCCATGTATGCACATGGAAGGGCAGGGAGGTGTGCTCTCCCTGCCTTAAGGTTTTCCACGTAGGCACATGGAAGGACAAGGAGGTCCCAGAACAGAGCCATACCACCAAATGTAAAACTCTGCTTGGAATGTAAGATATTCTGACAAAAGTGGTCCTGACTGAAATTGAGCATAGCGTTAGTTCAGGCAGGGCACGAAGTCAGGCTTAGCTTTCAGTTACAGCTATATCATACGATCACAGCTAGTCATAAACATACATCAGCTGATTCCTCTAAGCTTCCCATTGGATACCATACACAGTCAGCTGACAGCTCACCTGATTTCCTCAAGCATCCAATTGGCAAACATCTACATGGCGCCTTATTTAAGCTGCTTTAGCCTGCCTGCCTATCTCTGCTGCCCCTCTACAAGCCTTTTGCACCCACCTCCACCCCAGCTCCTCCTTTTTATGTTGTTTCTAATTAATCAATGTCATTTTCTGATTGCCATTGATGCTTGCTCTGTTCTGTAC